ATATGTGTATAAGAGACAGGTATGATAATGATCTGATGATTCTTGCACTATACTGATCCATTGTATACTGTGGAGTACATGGTCAGTGTGACTCAAAATATTGAAAGATAAACTAAATACACTATTCAGCCCCAACCATGGTGGGTGGGGCTGAGGTGGTCCTAGACCCTCCATCTGAGAAAGTTCCTCCCTGGGCTCCCTCCTTCGAATTCTTGGATTCACCCAGTGGCGGCGCTATTTGGGGGAAAGGGGAACCCATCAGACAGGTCAAAATCTAATTTTTGACACCCAGCTCCAAAGCCCATCCCCCGGCTTGGGCCTAAAGCCCTTTTTTATTTAATATTTCTTTATACTAATAAATGTTAGCACTTTCAGTACTATAGTACTGATTTTCAAACTGGTACAGTGACAAGAAACATATACAGCTAGTAGTAATAAAACAAAGAATAAAATAAAATAAAATTTGAAAATATTATGTTACAGGTAAATGATTTTGGAATGAAAAAGTCGACATCTCTTTAAAATTAATTTTTAATTTGTGTGGTAGTTCATTCCAGCTTTTGGATGATCAATATAAAAAATTTATTTTTCCCTGTCCAATATTATACATTGGAAGAACCAGGTTGTTATGGGTTTGGCTAGGTGTGCCTTTAGTGTGGGTAGTTGTACATATTGTTAAAGGTAAATTTTGAAGACAAATATTGAGGGGCATATCCTTTTAAGCATTTGAAAGTCACAAGAAGTAATTTTTCATTTCAAATCACATTAAGTCTACTCCATCCAAGGGAACTTAAAATATAATCTTCAATGGCGCTAAGTTATCCTTATCATACTCTGCCCCTTTGTCAGACAGCCTAGGCCCCCCAGTAATATATCCTACAGCCATCAGATCCACCTCTTATAGGCCTACTATAGTATTTTATATGTAGTCTACTTTGTTAATGGACAGAATAAATACTTACAAAATACTCACCAGTAATTCCAAGTTTGAGAGCAATTCTGTTTAGAGCAGCCATTCTCTTGCGTTTGTTTTTATAATCAACTGATCTTACGTTCCATAACAGCTCTTCTTCATGGTAATATTCTATTAAAAAAGTTTTCACTTTCATGTTTGGCAATTTTTTTGGGGTGTTTTGTCTCTACAACGAGACAAGAAACTGCAGCTATTTCTATGCCTGAATCCCTTGCAAAATATCATATTTCCCAGAGGCTTAGAAATCCTGTCCTCTGATTGGCTGTTGATCCCCAGATGGTGTAGAAGTTTGAAGGAAATTGAACTCATTCCATCTGCTTCAGTTTTTCCAACAGATTTGTATTCTCAAGGGGATCATAGTTGAAAGGTTGAAAGTAAAGGTTGCAGTAAAAATTAACAGACTCTGTACTCACCATGGGTTTACCCCATTAATCATTTTCATCCCCACTGGACATTTAAAGGCAAAATCTGTCCTCTATCACTTTGTTTAAACTAAAGCTTCAAATTCAGTGTGTTTTTATGTACAGTACTGTAGTTATTTTTGTGAATTCAATACAGTTTTTTTAAATAAGAACACATTGTATTACAGTAGTATACTGAGGCTGAAATTGCTTAAGGGAAAAAAAAGAGGCTGAGGTAAAATGTCAAATGATGTTTTTGTTTTTAAAAACTAGGAAAGCAAAATCATATCTGGTACCATGTAGATGTCAATATGAATACCCTCTATAATACTGTACAAATATAGCAATATAAGCCTACGGCTGTACAACAATAATTTTCTGTGTTTAAAATTTGTGTAAAGATAAGAGCAAAATTAGAGCATTTTGAGCCTGAAAATGTTACTAGTTCTTTTAAAAAATCTGGTACCATATGTGAAGCACAGTAGGTGTGACCATGGTGTGACTATCAAATATCCTCTATAATACAGTACAGTAATACAAGCCTACTGCTATACAACAATAATTTTCTGTGTTTGAAAATTTTGTAAAAAGTAAGAACAACAAAATAGGCAAAATATGAGTCTGGGAAAAATGTTACTAGTTCTTATTAAAAAAAAAAAAAAAGTGTACTGTTGTGTGTAAACCTTCCAAAAATTATTTATTTATTTTTAAATCTAATATTTGATTTGTTTTTATTTTTAAGGGATTGTAAAAGTCAAATTAAGCAAATCACTCAAATTGATCATGACCGATGATTTTTCTTGGGGAAAGTGTCATGGAATTGGGTGTAAATCAGGGGGTGAGGTTATACCCGAGGGGGGATTTATACCCAAGGAACTTATGGTATTTGTTTCACATACAAAGATTTCCCAATGAGGAGGTCCAAGGTTGCTATCTGGGGGTCCAAGTTTACTCAAGAGAAGATGTCTCCAAAGTCTCTGAAAGGGGCCCACACCCACCTCAGCTCCCATATTCGGAGCAAATTTTAAGTGGCACCTGTTAATGCCGGAAATGGCAATCTGAGGCTATAAAATCGCTTTTTTCAAAGTAGTGTACCCTAACGAAATGATTGGCTTTTTGTCTCGGGGG